AGCAGGACATGCATCATTGTGGTCTGGCATCTTGAGTTTCATTGCTCAGGGAGCCAGCAGGGCTCTCAAGTGAGGCTGCAGAACCTCTGCCTCTTTCTTTTATGCCTTTATATGTGTTAATGCAAAAAAAACCAACCTTCATGGCCTCTACTCCACCCAAATTACCTACCTTTTCTTATGGCATCTCTCCTAACTACACAATGCAAGAGTCCAATATGCAGAGAGAAAACGGAGCCCCTTTCCCAAGTGTCTGTGATAGCACTGAGGGTCTGGAGCTCTCTCTGAGTGTCAGGCAGAGCTATTGAAGGTGGAAGGACACAGCTGTCCACCACCTCTACAGTCCTCAGGCTTTCATTACCCTCCCAACCTCCTCTGACACAGAGGAGTGCGATGGGCTGAATTTTAAAGAGGTGGGAGCCAATGCAAGGTCAACATGAGAGGACTTTTCCTACCAACAGAAAGTGGAAAAAAATGGTTTTCATCAGTACTTGAGCGTTTATGGGGAAATTAATCTTTCAGAACTGTAGATGTCTACTGCATAGATGCGCACATCTGAGTTGGACTGCCTTTATAATTGAGAGAGGGGAATAGGTGTTGATGGTGTTGTCTTAGCTGCCCGATTTCACGTCTACTTTACTGTGATATGAACTGCACCTTTTAAAGGCTTGTTTCTCCCCAGTGACTATAGCAGAGCCCAGATGACTATCTCAGAGGCCACGTCTATGTAACGGTAGGTCAGATGAATGCCAGCCCTTGTGACCCGCACCAGGCCATGTGGTAGAGCAGGATGGTTTGGGCAGGCCCTTTTGCTTGCAGAGTGACCTTTCAGGTGACACTTGCCATCGTTGTCTCTCATTACTGCTCTGACTGTAGGAAAAAATCACCCTTCTCACTGGACACACTATTTCAGCATTGACCCAGGACTTTCTCACCTTCTTCATAGATCCGTCTTTTCCCCTGTGGTTCCTGGTTCAGAGTGCTGCAGGTACAGCAGTTGTGATTTGTTGTTTGGTCTTTCTTCCTCCTTTAGGACAGTCATGTTTTTTTCCACTGACAATTTCACTTGGTACTATCCGGATGAAGGAACTTCTTGCTATGATGGAAATAACCCATCAATGTACCAGTCCTAGAAAATGATACAACCTATTCAATAGTCAGAGATTACAAATATTTGAAATTTTAAAATTAGGATTATGAAAAGCATGAGACTGAATGATGAAACAGGCCATCCTGGTCTTCAATTCAACAGAACAATAATTCCAGTTTCACAGAATCACAGAATCGCAGAATCACTA